TGGATGAATTTTGCTTTACTAGAATTACAAAACAAAGTTAAGATGTTAATCAACAGTGGAATTGTTGGTTTGGGTCCAGCACATAAAGCAGTGAGCCTTCCATCTCTTGTGAAGTTGGTGCCTTTGTTTAAATTCTTTCAACAAAACATTTTAAGTATGTGTTCCATTAAAAGACAAGTATTCCTCACAGTGCCTTCTTCCTCCCAAATACAGGAGAAAACAACCCCTGAACTTTACTCCTCGTCTGTGCTACTGTCAGTGGGCAGCGTGCTTTCTACAGGTAAGCAACGCACTTCTCAAGTAACCAGTCCTTGTCAAAGGCTCACCCGTCCTCGCCCTTGGAGGAAGTAAATGCTCAGCAAGCATTGTTACACTGCAAAGGGAGGCCACGGTTCCTCTTAAAGCAAGAGTTCAAGAAGCTAAGGAGCATGAAAAGCAAAGAGAAAGCAGAGAGGGTTCAAATGGGATGTAAAGCCATCCGTCTCGATTTAACTGCCACGCCTTTTAATTAGATCCTATTTTTCATCCTACAGTGCTTTTCTTAGGCTTGGGGCTGATCTGGCTGCCCAGTGTGGCCTGTGCAAGGCCAGGTGCTAACGTAATAACCTGAAGCCGCGCTGGAGCCTGGCTGTCTCCTGCCTCAGCGATGTCTTCAGCAGGCGGAGCATGTCCCAGCAGCACTGCCTCCTGATTCCTTCCACCAAGCACACAACCATCAACTACTCTGTTATTCATAAATGAAACGGTCTGAATGCAAGAGGCTGCTTCCTAAAGACCAAGGCTGCTCAGTATTTCCCTAATTCCAAATAATGCAACATTCTTAACATAGCTTCAGAAAATGAAATTGTTTTTTCACTGATAGGCGTAATCTGAACCAGCACTTTTATTGAGCCGTAACTTATAAAACTGAATTTTCATTTACTTTTATGATTTTATCATTTCCTCCAAAACCAAATCCAGTGTTACAGAGTTAATTTCATTAAGAAACATTTTCTTTACGCTACTGGTATCTTAAAAAATTTAAATTATGCTCTTTTGATACAGGTGAAAATTATAAAATTCTAAAACTGTGCTATTTTTAGGTCCCTCATAGTTTAGATACACAATCAGCAATACTCCCTCACAGACCAACACAATTCTCTGCTATAACCCACATTCACTCAGAGAGGAAGGAACTTTCATTAAGCAACTATTTTGGGGGGATGCTTTGTTTAAGGGGTTCTTAATCTGGGGCTTGGACTTCAGGAGTAATATATCTCTGAAGCTATAAGCAAAATGTTAGGTATGTGTACATAATGAGCATCTCTCTGAGACACTGTCAGGGAAGTTTGAGAAACTAAAAACATTAAGCATTAAACTCATTAAATTTACCATAAGAAAAAAATACTTGATGTTTGACATCAATTTCCATTTAAAATATTAAAAAACTGAAATTTAAAATTAGTCTTCACACTTTTTCTCCAGTTGATAAACTCTAAAGGCCAAGTGAAAAACTTCTAATTATTAATTGAATATTTAATTTCCAAATGCTCATCTTAATCTGAAAGATTGGTTGTATATAATATACCATTAATCTTCAATATTATTTTCTACTTCCATTAAAAATAAAGATAGTAATAATGGAACTCCTAATTAGACATATGTCATAGTTAAACATCTCACTGGGGAAAGATAAAAAAAAAATCTAAGGAAGAATTTTTCTATTTCTACTTTACTAGAATAAAATAAAAGTTAACATGGAATTACTGGAAGACTTTTTAGGGCCTCCCCACCCTCAGATGCACTATTAGGGAGTTTGGATTTTATCCTGTAAAGAATGGGATGTACTAGAGGGTTTAAACAGGGAGTAATGTACCAGTGTACTTTAGAAATAATCCTCATTCATTCATCATTGTTCGATAAATATTTCTTGGGCAATTACAATACTGTAGATGCTGGGAATAAAGCAATAAACAAAACTGTCAAAACTCCCTATCCACGTGGAATTTATAGTCTGGTGCTAGAAGACAAACAGTAATTAAATACATACACATGTGGCATGTTAAATAAGGGACCTATGGGCAAGGCAATAGGATGAAGAGTATTGGAATCCTAAATAGGGTGGCCAGGAAGGGTCTCACTGGGTGACAAAGAATGAAAGGAGGCAAGGGACTAAGCCATGCAGAAATCTGAAGGAAGACAGTTCAGGGTGACAATGGAAAACCCTTGAGGCAGGAGCATGTCTGTCATGTTCCGGGAGCAGAGAGACCAGAATGGCTGAGGCAGAGTTAGCAGACAGAGTCAGAGAGGTAAGAGAGCCACTGCAGGGTTTTGGGCAGAGGAATGTCAAGATATAACTTATATTCTGAAGAACTTTGTTGGCTGCTGAAGTTGAGAATGGAATGTAGGGGCAAATAAAGGTGGAAGCAGAAGTGGTGAGAAATCATCAGATTCTGGATATATTATAAAGCTAGAGCCAGTGTGATTTGCTGAGGGACAGAATGTGGGTTTTGAGAGAGGAGTCAAGGATGGCGCAAAAAGTTTTGGCCCTAAGCAACTAAAAGAATAGTTACCTTTAGCTGAGAAGAGAAAGATGTCCAGAGTAGGTTAAGGGGAGAAGATCAGTAGCTTAGTTTGTAAAAACCTCAAATCTGGGATGTCTGTTAGATATCCAAATGGTGACATTAAGTAGGCAAATGAAGAATAGAACCAAGTCCAGGGGAGAAGTCCAAGCTAGAGATCTGAGGTCATCTGCATACAGGTAGTGTCTGAAGTCATGAGATTAGTGATAACCAAGAGAGTGAGGATAGAATGGATCAGCTGTGCGGGTACCACCTGGGAGCTGGTTAGAAATGGAGAATCACAGGCCCTACCCTAGACCTACTGCAGCTTAACAAGATCCCCAGGTGCTCTGTATGAATCTTAAACTTTAGGAAGTCTGGAGCACTCCACTGGTGCAGATAAGAGACAATAAAGGGTAACAACAGGAAAGATACTGTCAAGGGTTTCAAGTTATCAGTTGACTGAACAGAGGAGGGAAAGAGGTGAAGGAAGATTTCTGACTCAAATGACTGGGTAGATGATGTGCCATCAGTCAACAAAGAGAGCATTAGAGGAAGCCCGGCTTGTGAGGTATGGAGGGAAGGAATAGAGACAGATTACTGTTTTATAGGTGTTGAATTTGAGGTATACACAGGACCTCCAAGTAGAGATACCTGGCAGGCAGACAGAAAAAGACTAGAATGTGGCTGAAAACCCAGAGATACTGATCTTCAATGGAGCATCAGAGGTAAGAGAGGGTTGTTTATTTGATTTTTTTTTAAAGCATTGAATTAGAATGCTGGTAGGTTGAGGAGAAAGCACCTTTAGGAAGCCACAGAAGCTACAAGAAAGTGAGTAACTGAGGAGGATACTTAAGGAGGCCATAGAAAGAGAATTTTAGGTACAAATTAAGAGGCTAGATTAAAAATAATAGGGAGAAATGAAAACATATATCCACACAAGGAATTGTATGGTTTGGTTTTATACATTCATAACCCCAAACTGGAGCAAAGTGAGTATTAATCAAAAGATGGATAATAAGCAAAGTTGGTATAGTCACATAACGGAATACTACTGAGCGATGAGAAGGAACAAACAGTTGATACAAGTAACATGGATGAATCTCACAGACATTATTCTGAATAAAAAGGGCCAAATACAAAAAAGAATGCACTATGTAACTCCAGTTATATAAAATTCCAGAGCAGAAGGATAGAAAGCAGATCTGAAGTTGCCGGGGGTTGGTAAGTTGACAGCACAAGAGCAGAAAGCTTCAGGGTTTGTGCATATGGAATCCTCATTTTACCTCGTGTGCCCCTCACTGAATAGCAATGCATTCACTCATCCTCTTTGGATGGGCCTATTCCTTATAAATAGACATCCAATTACGTTTACTGAACTATAATGATGATGATAATAGTAACATTCACTGCATTCTTCCTGTGTGGCCAGCAATAAGCCTGGCATTCACGTAATCCTTACCACACTCCAACCAAGTAGATACTATTATTATCTCCTTTTTTTAACAGATGAGAAAACTGGAAATGAAAGAGGCTGATTAACTTTCTCAAGATTTCACAACTCCGTTAAGAACTTTGACTCTGAAAGTTCATGTTCTTAACCATTACACAAGACTTAAAATGGCATAAACCTATTTATTGGTAGACATTTAAATAAGGTCCACACGTTCAAAGAGCCTTTGGCTCATGGTACTTCTTGTTAGCCACTCAAATTTCATCTGCCCCAGCATTTTCCCTACCTAGCTGGAGCAACTGGTATTCTCTGGGCTCCCTTCCCAAGTCCAAGTTAAAGTGTCCTAAACTCCTACAGCTGCCAAGTAGTATTTATCTGGTTTCCCAGTTCTGACTCACAGTTCTGAGCTTATCGTCCCCAATGCTCTTTCCCATCACTGCCTACCTAACATGCCATTCTTCTTTTTCCAATTTCTCCCTCCCCAAGGCCCCAGGCTTGGATTCTATTTTTGTTTGAGAACTGGAACCAAAGCCAATTTCTCTTACTTACGCACTAGGAATCCTTTTTCATTATCCATTAACTCTAAACAAGAACTCTAAACTCTAGAGTTTAGAATACCTAACTCTAAACAAAAATATATAAGAACACCCTCTACGTAAAACTGCTGAATCAAATTAAATCACTGTGAAAGAGGAGGCAAATGCCGTGCATGTACAGTGAGGCCTTTCCTCCACAGCTTCTAAGGTTGCACACATTAAAACCAACATAAACGCCAGAACAGAATACCTTATTATCATCATCAAACTCAGGGAAAGTACACAGTGAACAAACAGCTACTCAGCAAGTTCTTCAAATGCTGAAAGAAGGAGGTATATATTTTCCACTTATATTTTGTTTGGCATTAACCCTCTCACTGAGAGTTCTACATCACTCAAAATGTTGACACTTTCATTCATATTCACATATCAGAAATTAGAAATAATTACATTAACATCACAGTCACTTACAAAGGAAATTATGTGCAGCTGAAGCATTCTACAAGGTAGGCTATTGGAATCGTTCCAACCTGTGAGTCAAGGGTCTTCTCTAAGTTGGGGTACAACGGTGGTTTCACATCCAAATTGTAACTCTGAAAAACAATTTACGTTAAGCAATTCTACGATCAGACAGAACTGACAGAAATAATTCATTCTGGTAGAATTCTAAGGTCATCTTAATTGGAAGCCTTTCCTGGGTGGCTGAAATACAAATAGCTTTAAACACAACACCTCTGAAATAATGTTGCCTTAAACCCTGACGTTGTCTCGTCGACTACTGACTCCTCAAGGAGAGAGGCTAGAAACACCAAGAAATGGTTTCCATCAGTATGAGTAACTTTTTAAAGTGCTGCCCCCAGCTAGCAGTCCAATATCCTTCTCAAGAGGCGTGAATGTCAAATTAGTCCTTTACAGATTGGGAAAGGATTTCGGAGGAAAAAAGAAAGTCATTCTGAATGGAGGATTTCAAGTTCAAGAAGCTTCTAGGTTTTTTTTTTTTTCTCCCAGAGTGAACCCACCTCTTCCTAAGGCCAGAGGCAAATTTACGGAGTTTTTGGTCCTACAGAGAGATCCAAATAACGAAGTGGCAAGACTCCTTGCCCAAACTTGGAATGACCTTGTCTTAGGGATCGTTGTATTTGATACTCAAAGGCCCTCACCAATTTGGGCTGCCCTGTGCCTGAGACAAAAAGGCCCTTGACTCCCCGCGAAAACGGTTTCCGAGAGGTTCCGAGTCAGAGGCTTACCACGTCTTCACCGCAAGCCGGCCGGAGTCATCCAAGAGAGGACCCGAGAGCGGACGCCAGCGAGGGGAACACCAGTGGCTGTAACCTCATTGGCTCCTGGAGACCGGAAGTGCATTCGTCGGCGGAAGTGCTCCTCCTGCGCGTGCCTGCCAGGCTGGGGCCCTCAGGTAGGCGGGGCTCCTCGCCCCGAACTCCGGGACCGTCTGGTGGGCCGGGGTGCTCGGGGTGCAGAGTGGACCCGAGGGCCCTTAGGAGATGGTCTGGGTTCTGGTCTCGGAGGGCCGGAAGAGTTTCTGGGGGGCGGGTTCACGGCGACCTCTGGTGGTAATCGGGGCCTAGTGAGCCTGGTCGCTGACCCAAGTGCGGGAGCTTCAAATTCCCCAGTGGAGATGGGATTTGGGGCCGGGGCTGGAGCGGCTCCCTGAGCGCGTTCGCTGCTCACTCCCAGCCGGGAAGAGTGTGCTCTCTGCTCAGCCTTTTCGGTGCCTTCTGGACCTCACAGCTCAAGGCATGTCAGAGTGCTGGGTTTTCCTCCGTTGACACCCTCGGCCTCACTAGGAAAAAAAAATCAGAAAGGCTGCCAGAGGCGCAATTGATAGAGAAAACGCGTCTCTCTCTTCCTTGCCTCCTCCCCAACCCCATGTCTTCTTAGGAGAGGGGTGTATTTCAGTTAAAGGCTGCTTTAGGCCAAGTTTATATAAAGTAAATAAGATTACTTGTTGATGGTTTCCCTTTTCCCAGCCATCTTCACCTGCAGGTGAATTGAATTTTGAGCCTCTTGTAGAACTAATGAACAATTTCGCCATCCTCGATTTATGGCTCTTGGAACTTCAAGATTTGGATGTTTATGCAATTTGAGACCAGTCAGCACTGTGCGGAGTTCAGAGTACTAAGAGACAGGTGAGCATGAAAGTATTTTCCCCTCCAGATTACAGTTTTTGAGAGCCGTTTCTGCTCTTTCGGTAAAAGGTGCGCCACCTTTACTGAATACTAGGTGGTGCCAGAGAGTTAATCTTTCTGGGATAAATCTCAAATAATGTGGTACCAGGTTAGGATTTTTTTAAGTGCCTCCATCTAACTTGAAATTTATTTAGAATAGCTTTGCCTCTTCAAAATATGTTGTGTCATTACACTTCATCCAGTTAGCGAATATCTATCCCGTAGTTAGTGATAAGGAAGTTAAGAGAGAAATCACTCATTTTCTGCTCTCAGTTGACAGTCTAGAGAGGAAGACAAACAACGTGCTATATTGTGGAAGAAGCAACCACTTCTCATTATTCATTTACCAATTATTTATCCAGTACTTTCTGTCTGCCGAGCATTGTACTAGACGCTGGTATATTTAAAAAAAGTAAAATCCCTACTCTCAAATAACTCACAATCTAGTGGAAGGGAACTAAGGAATGTATTATGGAAGAGGTAAAACTTAAGCTAGCCCCTAAAGAATGAATGACCTGGGCTTGATAGGTAGGACAAAAAAGCAGGTTCATTCTTTGAGAGAAGGATGGAAGTGCATGGCATGTTTTGAAAGAGCAAGTAGTCTAGTATGGTTAGAAGGTAGGAAATTAAGTCTGAAAAGATAATTTCAGTTTTAACTTGGATTTACCTTCACTTTTATGGGAAAATTCAGATTCAAAATAAAATGTAATGTGTCTTTCCAGGAGAAATTATACATGAAGCATAGCTATAGTAAATTACACTCTGGCTGACTTACACATGAAATTTAGCTATAATAAGTTAACACTTCTGGCTAAAGTGTAGCTTGTTTATATTTACACATCATTAATAATTGTAGATGATTTAAGCCCATTTTAACAGATAAGGTAGTAAAGAATAGATTTTCACTGATTACATTCTAGTATGACTGTAATGTAAGGAATCCTTTTCATTGAAGTTATATCAAATCATCTGGTAACGATTACATGTAGGAAAATTTGAATATTTTGTAAGTTACCCCAGGATTTAGGTTTTAATGAATGGTTATACCTAATATTAAGCAAAATGTGTTTCCTGAAAGGAATGTAAGCTTAACTTTTCATGGAGAAAACTTAAATGCTATAAATGTTAAGGTAAATGCATACAATATCAAAACACCAAAATAAGTAACTTTTCTCTACATTAGCAATAACCAGAAATTGTAATAACAAAAGCCATTACCAGTCTTAACAAAAAATACAAAGTATCTGAGAATAGCCAAGACCTTTGTGAATAAAACAGTACTTTTCCTTTTAAACTAAGCTTCATAAAAGAAAGTCTAAATAAATGGAGAGGTATGTTGCTTGACAGAAAGATTCAAGTTGAATTTCAAAATTCAATTGAAGTTTTGAGGAAACTTGACAAACTGATGCTTAAACATTCATCTAGAAGAGAAAACGCTTAAGAATAGACAAAAATTATTGGGGGAAAATCCTGCAATAATAAAGGCAACTTCTCTCAGTTATCAATGTAAACCATCTTTAAAGGTATAATAATTGAAACAGCAAGGTAATGCCTTAGGACCAGAATCTTATCAAAGAAACTTGAGTCTGTTTCTGTTGTGTCTCCATTAAAGTTACCATAAGTAAACACTGACTAGTAACAGTGTTGGGACAATTGGCCATGCATTTGAAAGAAAAGAAAAGTTAGACAGCCTACTTCACAGCATTAACAAAAGTTGCAGATAGCTTAAAGAAATAATTTATTTTATTAAGTTATCATTGATAAACACTCTTATGAAGGTTTCACATGAAAAACAAGGTGGTCCTACATTCACCCATATTGTCAAGCCCCCCAAGGCCCCATTGCAGTCACTGTCCATCACTGTAGTAAGATGCCACAGATTCACTATTTGCCTTCTCTGTGCTACACTGTATTCCCTATGACCCCCCCACACACTATGTGTACCAATCATAATACCTCTCAATCCCCTTCTCCCTCCCTCCCTCCCCACCCGCCCTCCCCCAACTCTCCCCTTTGGTAACCATAGACCCTTCTTGGAGTCTGTGAGTCTGCTGCTGTTTTGTTCCTTCAGTTTTGCTTCGTTGTTATACTCCACAAATGAGGGAAATCATTTGGCATTTGTCCTTCTCTGCCTGGCTTGTTTCACTGAGCATAATACCCTCCAGCTCCATCCATGTTGCAAATGGTAGGATTTGTTTCTTTCTGTATGGCTGAGCAGTATTCCACTGTGTATATGTACTACATCTTCTTTATCCATTCATCTGCTAATGGACACTTAGGTAGCTTCCATATCTTGGCTATTTATTGTAAATAGTGCTGCAGTAAACATAGGGGTGCATATGTCTTTTTGAATCTGAGAACTTGTATTCTTTGGGTAAATTCCTAGGAGTGGAATTCCCGGTTCAAAAGGTATTTCTCTTTTTAGTTTTTTGAGGAACCTCCATATTGCTTTCCACCATGGTTGAACTAGTTTACATTTCCACCAGCAGTGTAGGAGGGTTCCCCTTTCTCCACATCCTCGCCAGCATTTGTTGTTCTTAGTCTTTTCAATGCTGGCCATCCTAAGAAATAAATTTTTTAAAAAAATTCTAAGCCTTAGGATACGAAATAGTATATTTTTAAAAAATCTTGAGATGGTGAGGGCTTGCCTTCACGGACCATAAAACTAAGAAGACTTTGAAGATAGATAGATTTTGCCATTAAAAATAATAATTTATTTTAATTTTTTTTTTACAAAATTAAAGAGTGTATTTTACAAGATAATTTATTTTTACACCATCAGTAAAATTTTAAGTCGGGATTCTCACCTGATGGCCCCCCTGCGACTGTGCCTGTCTTAGGTTGTTCCTCCCTAGATTACTTAATCTTTTTGAGCCTCATTTTCCTCTTCCGTTCAATGGGGATGATGGGACCTACCCACCACATAGCATTACTGTTTATTCCCCTCTCCTCCTTAACACAGAAAAAAGTTTTGCTTTGGAGCTGATTTACCATTTAACAATGTTTTGAAGGGCCATGTGATATATTTTGTTTCACAAATTTTTGGTATTTAATTCAGAAAAATAATTTGAAAAATGAATAACTTGTCTTTAATTTATATTTGTAACATAATTACAAAGGCTTCATATCCGTGTGATGTAAGTCCATAAAAGAAAAATAATCCAGTAGAAATGTGGGCACATTTACAAAGAAGAAATTCATATCAAAAGTTGTTCATGCCCACAAGTCATTAGGTAGATACACGTAAGACCAACAAAATAATACTAGGAGTGTTCAGAGTCCTGGAGCATACTTATTAAGACTGAAAACAAGTGTTATAATGAATCGTTCTGTAAAGCAAAGTCCCACCTCATCTATTTCTTTATAATCTGTACTTTCATCTATCAAATTTGTTTAAGATAGATGAATAGTAAAGACTTCTGATTAACTTGTCAAGTCAATTAAGACTGCAGGGCATTTTTGTAGGGTATTAACTACTTTATGAATTTAAACTTTTAAATCTAAATTAAGATTTTCTTTGCACAACTGGCTTTCTCACCCCTGTAGCTGAGAAAGAGTACAGCTTATTTTAAATGGCACCAGTGTGTTTAATCATATCAAATAACTAAATATATACTGTATGTTGGTGATTGTCCTACTTACAGATTAAAATGGCTTCCAGAGGAAAGACAGAAACAAGCAAATTAAAGCAGAATTTAGAAGAACAGTTGGATAGACTAATGCAGCAATTACAGGATCTGGAGGAATGCAGGTAACGGTATACTTGTGTGCTGCTATGCTGGAAAATGGCTTTTTCCTGTAGTGAGATTACAGGGCCCATGGGTGCAGGCCCATGTGTGACTGTGGTTTCCCCTCTGGTGTCCTCCACAGCCTTTGTCTTTTGGGGAAATAAACTCAGTGCAGGTTTTGGAGTCATAAAGACTAGGATGTGAAGTCTTTGATTAATTACTAAGTGAGTGTGAACTCGGGCAAAATACTTAGTCCCCGAAAGTTCCCTTGTTGTTAGTATTTAAAATAGCCCTGCCTGTTATCAAGCCGAGAAGGTACTACATGAGCTTCTGGTGGGTTTTCAACCTTAGCTACTCAAAGGATCAGGACTGTGCATTGCCTTTCTGAATAACCTTGAAAGATTGTTTTAAATATTACAAATGAAGGGACCAACACAGTGTTAGACCTGATAGATGGTAGCTGTTGTTATTTATAGTAAATGTTTAATAAATGGCTTATTTGGTGAATAAAAATACCATCTTAGATGACAAATACTACATTGCTGTTGTATTTCAAGGTGCACAAAATTTTGCCTACCACTAATGATAATAATAGTATTTATCAAGTACCTATTGTATGTGAAGCATATTCCCTATTTCATTTAAGGCTTATGGGAACACTATAAGGTAGGTATTATCATTATCTGCATCTTATAGGTAAAGAAACTGAGGTTTGACTAAGTTCTTGCCCAAAGGTTATGACATTGACTCCTAGGCTGCTTAGAAGGAAATTTTTATGTGGTTTAAGTGTACCTCATTTTGAACTGAGGTTTGACTAAGTTCTTGCCCAAAGGTTATGACATTGACTCCTAGGCTGCTTAGAAGGAAATTTTTATGTGGTTTAAGTGTACCTCATTTTGGTAAAAGAAAAATGTTTAATTATCAAAGTAACCACATTGCAGGAAAATGCCCATACTACTGATATCTGAACACATTCATCATTAGCATTTTGGTATCTTTTTCCCCTAAATATTTTTTGTAAATATATTATCTGAGGTCTTAGTGTGTTCAAATATTGATTGCTTTTTTCGCTTGTAACTCTCTATTTTTCTATATTACGTCCACTGTACTTCAGAGAGGAGCTTGATGCAGATGAGTATGAAGAAACCAAGAAGGAAACTCTGGAGCAACTAAGTGAATTTAATGATTCACTGAAGAAAATTATGTCTGGGAATATGACTTTGGTAGATGAACTAAGTGGGATGCAACTGGTAAGCTTAACTTACACTGGTGACCCAGATTGTTTTTTTGTTTCTCTTTTTTTTGTTAAGTGTAATAAGATAGAAAATTTACTCTGTTTTGGGTTGAACTTCTAGATTAGTATCTGTTTAAGGATAAAATAGCATATGCTTCAAAATCTTCATTTAGTTATATATTTGACATGTGCAAAAATAGCAAATGGAAACTAAAATTGTACAGTGTTTGGTGAACAAAAAGAACCTGTTAATAATTGAAGACTCATCAATTAACTGCAGTATCTGATTTGTTGGAATATTTTGGTTAGTTTTTAATCTTCTTGTGTTTCTAGGCTATCCAGGCAGCTATTAGCCAGGCCTTTAAAACCCCAGAGGTCATCAGATTATTTGCAAAGAAACAACCAGGTCAGCTTCGGACACGGTTAGCAGAGGTAAAGTTTCTTTACATTGATCCAATTACTGTGTGTATTTCTTTCCTCAGCCCAAGAATTTGCTCATTATGCTATTCTGAAGTTTAAAACTGGTCAGTTAAGGATATACACCACCAAGAGTGAACCCTAATGTAAACTATTTATTTATGGACTCTGCATGATTATGATGAGATTATTACGTGATGATGATTTAGGTAGGTCCATCAGTTGTGACAAATGTCCCACCTGGTTAGGAATGATGTTGACAACGGGGAGGCTGTATATGAATGTGGGGCAAGAGTATATGGGAAATTTTTATATCTTTTGCTGAACGTAAAACTGTGAACATAAAACTGCCATAAAAAAATAGTTGATTAAAGAATGTTGGTCACTTGATTTTAGAAACAATCTAGTTTTCTGACAAAATTAATCCATTGAACAATTATTGTTGATAACAAATGCAGATGTTTAAACAGCAGTTTAAATTGCTACTGACCACTTTTACTTGGACTCTACCTTTAAGGTTTTACAATTTACTTCTGGAGCCCTGAGTTGAAGTACCATTTAATGCATTAGCGACATTGCTTTATGCATGTGAGGCCTTTCTCATCTAAGAATGTCAAATGTCTTTATAAACCTTCAGGAAGGTTCAGGAAGGTACTTCAGGAAGGCTTTTTATAGACTTGAATATAATTGAGGTATTAACATGTTATATTCAACCACTTATTATTCAGTAGCACAGTGGTTAAGGAATGAACGTTGGTCCGACTAGCGGGATTTGTATCTCTGCTCCACTATGGAGGTATGTGACCTTGGAGAAGTTATTTGTTCAGCCTCTGTGTGCCTTTTTTCCTATGTATAAAACAGTGATAATGATAGCCCATATTTCTTATGGTTGTTATGAGGATTAAATGAAGTAATATGTGTAAAGCCCATAAATATGTAATATGTGTAAACACATAGAATAGTACCAATGCATAGTACATGATATCACTGTTTCTGGAGATAGAAGTGATATTTAACCAAACTTTCAGGAGATCTGATACCAGCTTTTGCATTCAATCCTGTACACCATACTTCAGTTTAATGAAATGAGTTCTTAGAGGATAACTTCTCTCCAAAGGAGGCTATTGACCTACTAATTACTCAGTAGAGTTTGTAACTGAGCCAATGGTTATAATTAGCATCAAGATTTACTAGAACTGTGTAATGGCACTTCTGTCAGGTTTGCTTGAATTGTGTCTGTAGTTCTCTATAATATTAATCAGCTAGAGGATCTATTTTTAAAAGAAGTAGGTCTGAAAAGCTGGATTTAATGCACAGAATGTTTTTAACTTAAATATCATGTGCTCTGCATTCATCTATTATAGATGGATAGAGATCTCATGGTAGGCAAGCTGGAAAGAGACCTGTACACTCAACAGAAAGTGGAGATACTAACAGCTCTCAGGAAACTAGGAGAGAAGGTAACTGTTTAATTCACTGTGTTAGGTATAAAGAAAATCTGTGAAGTATTTGGTACAGAACTTGATCTGTGATTTAGTTTGTGGTCCTGAGACATTCTTAATCATGGTCCCTAGAACCACTTGTTAACATTGGAACCCGGAACCCACTCCATTGGGCTTTGTTTTGTTTTGTTTTGTTTAGCTAACTGCAGATGATGAAGCTTTCTTGTCAGCAAATGCAGGTGCTATACTCAGCCAGTTTGAGAAAGTCTCTGCAGACCTTGGTGAGTACCCTCATCTTTCTGAAAGCTGAACATGAATTACTGCTCCAGATTGATGGTAGCAGGGGTGAGATAAAATGATGGCCTTTTCTTGAGCTTAGAGGTAAAACCAGAATTGTTTTCTTTATAAATCCCTTTTTTTGGGTTTATTTCCTAATACTTTTTCATAAAAATAATTAAATTAATACACCCTAATGTTTTGAAAATATTTGTCTGCTAAATATAAATATAAAAGTGAAGTGAACTAAAATTTTATGTATTCTATTTCATACCTAAAGCTAGAATAAGGATTTGTAACCAATGAATCACCTTCTGTAGCCGAGTTGTTTGCACAGGGCGAAGGAAATTGGGATGGCAATGGGGAGGTTTGGGATAGTGCACTGATAATAGAAGCCAATTTTTAATTTCTATTTCAATGTGGTTGATTTTCCCTTCTTTACCTGGAACTATAAATGCTTTTGGGATGACATTTTTGTTTTATTATGTGTCTTTCTCCTCAGGCTCTGGAGACAAAGTTCTTGCTTTGGCAAGTTTTGAAGTTGAAAAAACAAAAAAATAACATGGTGTGGAAGCTTGGACACTGATCACATTCTTGGTGTACACGGTGTTCTGGGGATTTTGAGTCATTGCAAAGAAATGAAGAGATGCTTGAAATGCACTACTAACCTAAGGAAAGGTGATAGAAAAACATACTCATTGCTTCTGTTTATGCCCTTCAATGCTGTGCTTTGTGTAGTGCTACCTGCTTGAGTGATCCTGGATTTGTTGGGATGAGGGGACTCACTGGACCTTATTCATTATGATTTGTAATTTTAAGAGAGAACAGAGAACAGTTTCTTTGCCTGTTTTTATTAAGACTCCTTGTTTTCAAGTGCTGATAGTAAATGAAACGATGTGAACTAATAATTCTTTTCTGTTCATAATTTATTCCCACTTGTAGTGAATATTGTAGCATCATCAATAGGCCTCATATGTGTTCATAAATTTTGGAGTTCTAAGTGATCTTACAAATCATTTTCATTTTGCAAAGAAACTAAGGCTTAGAAAGAGCAAGTGACGTGCTCTTATGTAGCATTAGAAATAAAGCTGGGAATGAGATTTGGGTGTCCTGACTCTCAGTGTTGTAGCCATTGAGTTTTACTTCTTTATTCTGTGTTGTTTTGTAAAAGCAGTTAACACATATTTGTTAAATCTGTGTTTATGAAAATTCGATGTCCCAGCAGAAAGTTGTCACTACGAGACCATTTCTCAGCCTGTAAACTCTCCATATGAATGGGAATAATTAAATTAATACACCCTAATGTTTTGAAAATATTTGTCTGCTAAATATAAATATAAAAGTGAAGTGAACTAAAATTTTATGTATTCTATTTCATACCTAAAGCTAGAATAAGGATTTGTAACCAATGAATCACCTTCTGTAGCCGAGTTGTTTGCACAGGGCGAAGGAAATTGGGATGGCAATGGGGAGGTTTGGGATAGTGCACTGATAATAGAAGCCAATTTTTAATTTCTATTTCAATGTGGTTGATTTTCCCTTCTTTACCTGGAACTATAAATGCTTTTGGGATGACATTTTTGTTTTATTATGTGTCTTTCTCCTCAGGCTCTGGAGACAAAGTTCTTGCTTTGGCAAGTTTTGAAGTTGAAAAAACAAAAAAATAACATGGTGTGGAAGCTTGGACACTGATCACATTCTTGGTGTACACGGTGTTCTGGGGATTTTGAGTCATTGCAAAGAAATGAAGAGATGCTTGAAATGCACTACTAACCTAAGGAAAGGTGATAGAAAAACATACTCATTGCTTCTGTTTATGCCCTTCAATGCTGTGCTTTGTGTAGTGCTACCTGCTTGAGTGATCCTGGATTTGTTGGGATGAGGGGACTCACTGGACCTTATTCATTATGATTTGTAATTTTAAGAGAGAACAGAGAACAGTTTCTTTGCCTGTTTTTATTAAGACTCCTTGTTTTCAAGTGCTGATAGTAAATGAAACGATGTGAACTAATAATTCTTTTCTGTTCATAATTTATTCCCACTTGTAGTGAATATTGTAGCATCATCAATAGGCCTCATATGTGTTCATAAATTTTGGAGTTCTAAGTGATCTTACAAATCATTTTCATTTTGCAAAGAAACTAAGGCTTAGAAAGAGCAAGTGACGTGCTCTTATGTAGCATTAGAAATAAAGCTGGGAATGAGATTTGGGTGTCCTGACTCTCAGTGTTGTAGCCATTGAGTTTTACTTCTTTATTCTGTGTTGTTTTGTAAAAGCAGTTAACACATATTTGTTAAATCTGTGTTTATGAAAATTCGATGTCCCAGCAGAAAGTTGTCACTACGAGACCATTTCTCAGCCTGTAAACTCTCCATATGAATGGGGCCCATTGTAACTCTGAGTTTGAGCTTCTAACAATGGAGCCCTGTTGAGAGTCTCCTGAAGTAACTTAACCTCCTACGTTGTTTCACCAGGGAAGCAATTGGAAGTGGCAGATAGAGGTCCTCCCTATGTGTGACCACTTTGCTGCAACCGGAGGGCGGTGACTGTAAACTATGATTTGCTCTTCAGTTTTTGGAGAAACACAAAATAAGTTTTGAGGAAAAGCCGGTTTCTCTCCTGAGTGATTACAGCTGTCTGCATGCTCAAATATATAGATTTTGCCATGTACTTCTATGTTAGCTTATTTCCTGGTTCTGGCCACTTTTTATTCTTTAGTGTATTTCCCAGTAGTTTTTTTCTTTGCACTTTATGTATATTAAAAACATATTTAAAGCTTCTTGTATACTGTAAACTCTACTAGGTGCTCTGCCAACTGGACAAATTAGGGAACTTCAGCTACATTAATGCCTTAATTGGAACTTTTATATATTGATTTATAATAGTCAAAAACTCATTGAAATTTTGACAAACCAAGAAAGAGCAAATTACCTGCTGTTCATTTAGGGCTTTATGATCAATCATTATTTCATTATTCTGGATTGTTTTTGCTAATTTACATAACAAAATTCACCATTTTAAAGTGTACAATTTAGTGGCATTTAATATGTTCACAGTGCTGAGCAATCATCACCACTATCTAGTTCCAGAACGTTTTGATCACTCCCAAAGGAGACCACATAACCATTAAGCAGTCACTCCCCATTTACTCCTCTTTTCAACCCCCTAGCAACCATTAATCATATGCTATCTCTATGTATTTACCTATTCTGGTTATTTCACATAAATGGAATCATATATGACCTATTGTGTCTGGCTTCTTTCATTTATCATAATATTTTCTAAGTTAATCCTTATTTGTAGCATGTATCAGTATTTCATTCCTTTTAATGGCTGAAAATACTCCCTTGTGTGGATACTATTTTGTGTTTATCCATTTATCTTTAGTGGAATATTTGGGTTTTTTCCACTTTTTGGCTGTTATGAATAGTGCTGTAATGAACATTTGTGTGTAAGTATTTGCTTAAATACCTGTTTTCAATTCTTTTTGGGTATTTCCCTAGGAATGAAATTTCTGTGGTTCCTTTGTTTTTCTTTTTGTTGTTAAGCTATAGCAAGATTCCTCTTCCCCTTCAGTAGTAGGATGACTGAAATTAGCAGTATTTTGTATTTTAAAGGGGCCCAGATGAATCTGGAACCCTTAATTTTGGTTACCTTAAACTTTCTATAAGACCAACATCAGTGAAGTATTTTGTCATTAATTATATTAATGTGCGCATTTTGCAAGTAATGACTAGTAATCAATTAAAAATTAACCTTCCTTTAAAAGTGACCAAGTTTGTAGGGCTGGCAAGGCACTGTCAATCAATCTTGGCTATGTGACCTTTGGCAGGTTACTTAATCTTTTTTTTTTTTTTTGAGAGGGCATCTCTCATATTTATTGATCAAATGGTTGTTAACAACAATAAAATTCTGTATAGGGGAGTCAATGCTCAATGCACAATCATTAATCCACCCCAAGCCTAATTCTCGTCAGTCTCCAATCTTCTGAAGCATAACGAACAAGTTCTTACATGGTGAACAAATTCTTACATAGTGAATAAGTTCTTACATGGTGAACAGTACAAGGGCAGTCATCACAGAAACTTTCGGTTTTGATCATGCATTATGAACTATAAACAATCAGGTCAAATATGAATATTCGTTTGATTTTTGTACTTGATTTATATGTTGATCCCACATTTCTCCCTTTATTATTATTATTTTTTTTATTTTTAATAAAATGCTGAAGTGGTAGGTAGATGCAAGATAAAGGTAGAAAACATAGTTTAGTGCTGTAAGAGGGCAAATGTAGATGATCAGATGATCAGGTGTGTGCCTATGGACTAAGTATTAATCCAGGCTAGACAAGGGCAGCAAGACATCCACGGATGCAGAAGATTTCTCTCAAAGCAGGGGGGGTGAGGTTCTGAGCTTCACTTCTGTTGATCCCCAATTTCTCATCTGATGGCCCCCCTGCGACTGTGCCTGTCTTAGGTTGTTCCTCCCTAGGTTACTTAATCTTTTTGAGCCTCATTTTCCTCTTCCGTTCAATGGGGATGATGGGACCTACCCACCACATAGCATTACTGTTTATTCCCCTCTCTTCCTTAACACAGAAAAAAGTTTTGCTTTGGAGCTGATTTTGCTATTTAACAATGTTTTGAAGGGCCATGTGATATATTTTGTTTCACAAATTTTTGGTATTTAATTCAGAAAAATAATTTGAAAAATGAATAACTTGAAATTCTATACAACTGTAGTTATTAAACGACTTGCAAACTTTGTTTCCAGTACATATTTTACTATATTTAATGTTCTAGTTTTTTGTACCTCTTGGGAGGGCTTAGACTGCAGTAACTAATGCTAAAGGCAGCTAGCTTTTTGACACCCTTGGATCAAATTAATATTTTATGAAAAGAATTCTTACACTTTTCAAAGAACTGGGGTTAAAGCAGAATTCAGTTCCAGTGAACAAGTGTCCAAATGAGCTGTTTAATGAAATCTAATAATTTAAAACAATTCCTCTGTTTCAGTGTTTTGTTTTTATCCTGTGAGTGGTAAGATAGGTATTTTATGTGGGTGGTAGAGGAAGAAACTGAGCAATAGAATAAGTTGTTCCCAGGAAAGAGTTGGAGTTGGGACAGAGGGACTGTTAACTCTTTGATTGTCAGACCTCTTACTGAAGACACTCAGCCAAAGAGTGGTCATCTTAGGCAAAACAAAAGACTGCAAGTCCAACATTGGAATGGTATCTTGTCACAGTGAATGATGGATAGTTTAAAATTATTACAGAAAAAATAAACCTAGACCACTTTGCCTAGAGCTTTTCAACCACTTTCCTGTCCATATTTTTTCTTACTCTATTCATTACTAGGATCAAAGAATGCTCTTCTTGGCCTCTCAAAATGTTTTCCAGTGTTAATATGTAAATTTAAACTGCCAGCATTCCCATAGACCCCGTGAACAAGCTGTACTTGCTTCCTGTCTGTCTGGCCCTGGGATTAAATAGATTTAGAAACTGGGTTAACCAGTATTTAATGTCTTCATTAAGTTGCAGAAAGCAGGTTAAAAATATGGCTCTTAAAAATAATCCCTAGAGCCTTTTGAGGTCCGAACTCACTTTCTTTTTGAATTCCCTCTTCCTATTCACGCTAATAGCAAAGTGGAGAGACTGATGCCGAAAGGGTCCCACACACAGGGGTCGGCACTGTTCTCACAAGTTCACAATGGAGAGTCCATGCAGCTCCAAGCAGAGGACCAGAGAGAAGGAGAGGTTTGAGGCTGTCGGTTGGAAGCTTCCTAAGACTTGGTTGTTTTCCTCTGAGATCGAACTTCTTAATGGCCTCAGACAATGGATTACAATTTAAGATAAATAAATAAATAAATATTTTCTGTAAAGGAGGTCAGGTTGATCCAGGAATTTTC